ATAAAGACATTCCAGTTATTTGCAAGAGTATAATAATAGACAATAGATTCTACACTGGGTAAAAAAGAAGGAGATTAGCCCTGACTGGTTTGGCTCAGTGGATAGAGCGTTGGCCTGTGGACTGAAGGGTCCCAGGTTCGATTCCGGTCAAGGGCATGTACCTTGGCTGTGGGCACATCCCCAGTGGGGGGTGTTCAGGAGGCAGCTGATCGATGTTTCTCTCTCATCGATGTTTCTAACTCTCTATCCCTCTCCTTCCTCTCTGTAAAAAAATCAATAAAATATATATATATATTTTAAAGAGATTAAATGAGAAAACAATAAAAGTCAATAAATTAGAGTTCTGGGTAAGGCAGAATCTTACAATACAGATATTTGCAGAAATGAGATAGGCAGATGAAAGATTGTTGTTGGAGAATAAAAAGTCTGAATTAGTACTTAGAAACGAGAATTTTGCTGAAGGTAACATTTAGGGCATGATCATGATGACGATGAATGGGATGTAGAGAAAGTATCTGCCTGCTGTAGCCTTTTTTTTTCTTAGTCCCCACCTAAGGATATGTTTTTATTGATTTGAGAGAGTGAGAAAGAGAAAGAGAGAGAAGAAAACATTGATGGGAGAGAAAAACATCAATGGGTTGTCTATGTGTCCTGACCATGGATTGAACCTGCAAACTTTTAGCATATGGGACGACACTTCCAACAAACTGAGCCACCCAGCCAGGGCTCTGCTTGCTGTATCTTACAAAACATGTTAATTTGATGTAAATCACCACTCGTGGTCTTTAAATCTGCCAATCTAATCCATTCAATTACAACCCTGTCTAAACTCATCAAGTATCGATATCCAACCACCCCTCCAGATTTGCTAAAAAGTAAGAAAGTCCACAGGAGAGATGATGCTTTATCTCAGGAGTCAATGATAGTATATATATTTTAGACACTGCAGGCCATGTAGTCTCTGTCACAACTACTCAACTTTGCCATAGTAGTAAAGAAGTGACCAGACAATCTATAAATGAAAGAACATTCAATAAAAGCTTATTTACATACACTGATATCTGAATTTCATGTAATATTTATATGTCATAAAATATTATTCTTTTTACTCTTTTTTCCAACAATTTAGAATGCAGAAACCATTCTTAGCTCACAGGCCATACAAAAACAAGAGGTGGGCCAGATTTGGCCTCCCAATTATAGTTTGCTGACTCCAGCTTTAACTGAAAAGGTAAATCTTAATAAAACAATATGAATACAGTTGATCCATGAACAGTGCAGGAGTGGGGGTAGGTAATCCCACCCTTGTGCAGTTGAAAATTTGTAAATTTTGACTCCCCAAAAACTAACTTGTCCCTAGGTAAACATGGAAGGAACCCATGCAGATACCAGAATCTGCAGATGCTCAAATCCCCTATATAAAATGGCATAGATCAATGCATACATGAGAACCCAACTGTGGACTGAAAACATTACAGGTATTTGTTGAAAAAAAATCTGTGGCTCAGATGGTTGAGCATTGACCTATGAACCAGGAGTTTACAGTTCAATGCCGGGTCAGGGCATATGCCCGGGTTGCAGGAGGCAGCCAATCAATGATTCTCTCTCATATTGATGTTTCTTTCTATCTCTCCCTCTCTCTTCTTCTCTGAAATCAGTAAAATAATATATTTTTTAAAAAATAGAAAAATTGGTATATAAGTGGACCTGTGCAGTCCAAACCCATGCTGTTCAAAGGTCAACTGTATAACATACTACTACTTAAACATAAATAATATTTTTACAGTAATGAGTTTCAAATAACTGCTTCCTCTTTATTTCTATAATTTATACATATTGGTATTTAGAATTACAGTACCTTTTCTCTGATACCACTTTTAACTTGCTCATCTTGAGTTACTTCATTTCACCATTGCAGATAATCTAAAATTTAAAAAAAGTTAATTAAATATAATTCTGTTTTCTATACATTAGATGTCATAACAGCCATACAGCTGAAGGTTTTTATTATGGAAAACACAAGATAACACTGGAAATCAAAGGAGAATACCTGAGTTCTATGTGCTCTGGCAAGTCACTTCAATGCACAATATGTGACTATTATCCAAAATCAACCAGTAAAACAGTGCCAAAATCCTGGAGCTATAAAAATGCAAAAACCTAATCTAACACAATTTATAATCTAGTGTTCACATTTCTTTTGAGATAAAATTATCCTTCCTGCTCTAATACTCTTCCTTAAAATACTCAAACCAACAATAGCATCCTGAGATTAGTGTACTTATTGTCCACCATTCCCATAAGCACTCAAATACTGCAGATATGTATGATTAGTTCTACATGAGATATTTTTACATTAATAACAAATTTTTCAGACTGAGTAAAAACCTGTAACATCTTATTTAATGCATTTCATGCATATTTTCCTTCAAGCAGTACAACTTTTATCTTTACAAAGTTCATACTATATATTCTAAAACATTAAATCTTGATTCACAAAATTTTGATAATTTTTGGATTATGTATGAAAATCACACGGTCTGTTTTTAAGTTAGATGAAATTTAAAAATTGCTGTTCTTTTTTTCAACTGACTTATGTGTTTTTTTAATTTATTTATTTATTTATGTATGTATGTATATATGTTAATCCTTACTCGAGTACTATACTTTTTCATTGATTTTTAGGGAGGGTTGAAGAGAGAAGGAAAGACAGAGAGAGAAATGTCAATGTGAGAGAAACACATCAACTGATTGCCTCCTGCATGAGCCCTGACCAGGGCCCTAGGTGGAGGAGGAGCTTGCAACCAAGGTACATGCCCTTGACCAGAATCAAACCTGGGACCCTTTGATCTGCAGGCCAACACTCTAGCCCCTGAGCCAAACTGGCTAGGGCTCAATTAACTATTTTGTAATGACTACAAAATCAAAGTAACTTTCCCAATATCCAAGTTAATTAAGACTTAACTATATATACAAGGGAGGAAGAATCCAATGTTGTTGTTGCCATAAAAAGTTACTTCTTATTGAGCGGTATGTTCCTCTCTAAAACTACATTAGCAGCACATCTTATGGAGAGTTCACTGTAAATTCTGATTTGCAAAAATTAATGCTGGGCATTTACATCATTCCTATTTCAACAAGTTAAGAAATGATTCAAACTTCCAATTCACAGGAAGGTAGTACTTTAACCACAGGCATTTCTCTCCTCTCCCTCGCAGGACTAGAGGAGATAGTAATGTCCACAGTGACAGAAAGGAAAACTATGAGGAAGGAGGGTACTTTGTCCAGAAGAACTCAGGAAACTCCTAACTAGGGAACTGGGAAATACCAAGAACAGCAGAGGAATAGACTGCTAAACAGCTAACTAAAACTTGACAATTGCACGTAACTTTTTACCTCCTCAATACCCCTATGTTCAACATGTCTGGCAAATAATCTTCACCAACGAAATTGACAACCTCAAAGAAATCTGCCTTCTGAGACTTTAGAGTTCCTCAGGAAAAAGGCCAATTCTCGTCCTCATTATCTCAGGGTTAGCCCAGTGTGTCCCTGACGGCGCTTTCTATTTCTGAGGCCTGAGACCTGAGTGCCTCCGAGTAAATGAAGGCCCTTCTTGCTGCTGTGGAAGTGTGTTCATTGCAAGTTTGGGGTAATAGAAGGACAGGCACCTTAGAAACAGAAGTGCTGCACTTCACCAAGCTTGTGGTTTTGCCAACCAAAGGTGACAAAGCAAGAAATAGGCAAAGAAGCTAAGAAGGTATGCGAGGGAGTATATAACTGACCGTGGAATTTAGGTACACTCTACTCATTCCTCTTCGTTGGATCATTTTCATCACCATAAAATCATGTTGTTGTTGTTTTTGTGCCTTTGGTGGGGGAGGGTGGGGGACTCTCTTGCTCTCAGTTCCCCAGTTCAGCTACTGTCCCATTTTTTCCCTTCTGAAAGCAGTTGTTTATATATATTGTCAACAAGTCCTCTCTTCCCATTCCCTCTTAAACACATTCCAGTCCAGTTTTCCACACACCACCCCATCAACACTGCTCTTGTCAGCAACCAATGATCTCATTTACTGTTAGCAAATCCAACTGTCAATTCTCAGCCTTCATCTTACTGGTTCTATCAGCAGCACTTGATATAGCTGATCACTCCCTCTTCTTGGAAATACTTTCCTCAATTGGACATACTCTGTTTTCTGTCTTCCCCCCTGCCACTCCTTCTAAGCCTCTTTTCCTGAAATGCCCCAAGGCTCAGTTCTCTCTTGTCCTTTTCTACCTCAGGTCTCTTGGTGATCTCATTCAGTCTACTCAACCACTTCCACTTAGATCTCTCATATCACAAACTCAAGATATCCACAACTGATCTCCTGACCTTCCCTTCCCTTTCAAGGGTGTTCTAACCTCAGCTTTTCCCAAGGATAGTTAAAGACAATTCTCTCCCTCCAAGTATGTGACCCAAAAACCTTAACTTCCTCCTTAGCTTCTGTCTTATACCCCACATCCAATACACCAAGAAGCCCTGATAAGCCCTGGCCAGGTGTCTCAATTGGTTAGAGCATCGTCCTGTTATGCCAAGGTTGCAGGTTCTAGCCCCAGTCAGGGCACATACAAGAAACAATGAATGAATGCATAAATAAGTGGAACAACAAGTTTCTCTCTCTCCCCTGCCCCTCAAAAAAATATCCATTAAAAAACGAAAGTCCTGATAATTCTACTTTTAAAATATAGAATCTGATCACTTTTACCACATCTACTTCTATGATCAAGCCACCGTTCTAGTCTCCCTTCTACCTCTGGCCCCCTGGAGTCTGTTTATTCTCAACACAACATCCTGCCTGACCCTTTTAAAACCTTGGGGAAAAGAAAGAGAAGAAAACAAAAAACAAAACCAAGAAATATACCCAGTTGCCCCATTTCTAATGCTTTGCTATTGGTGCAAACTTTCTAAAATGTGGACTGACTATATTACAAGGAAACTATACTGTGAAATTTTGTGATTGTCTCATTTGGTTATTTATTATGCCCTTATGTTTTACATTATAACATTTTATTTACAGATATGCTTGATAATCAAATGTGTCCATTTTTAAGGGTGAGGTACAAGAGAAGGGCCAGTGGACAATTTTGCGAGTCATTTCACTAAACTAGTGCAACGAAAGACACACACAAAACCCCAGCTTGAGAACGAAAACGACTTATCAATGGGTTTACACACAGGCTGGTAATTCAAGTTGGCCCATTCCATTCTGTGTTGTCTCTGAAAACAACTTTACAAGTATTGCAACAAAGGTTCCAGCAATATTCAAAGGACATTTAACTACAAATTATAGTCATTTCACAAGTTAAAGGTATTACGGAATCTCAAACATAATAAAGCTTTTATTTTTTAAAAATATACAATGAAAAGGCTGATGTACCAATATGAATAGTAGCAGAACTTACTAGAAAAGGGAAAGCCATCCCATTGCTGAGGAACTAATGAGATCAGAATGTAAAATTATGCCAAGTAAAATGCTTATATGAGATGCAATGGGAGAAATGTTTAAAGTTCTACAGCATATTAACTGTAAGGTAAGTCAACATATTGGTATGTCACATGATGTAAAATACTTACGTAATAAACAGAAAAACATGGGGCATTTTTTCTATCCGGATTGATGAATCCAGAGTTTGTAAACTATCATATATATATAAGATTATACTCTATATATATTATGCATTCATAATTATAAAATTTGAGAATAGTAAAATCAAGAAAAATATTTTGCTACAGAGTGCTTGCTGCCCAAAGTTAACAAAAAAACAGGGTATTTAATGTTTTGATCTCCTATCTGCAAACTAAAGATGTGTTTTAGAAGCACTATGTTGACATCTGAATTGATAATATCCCATCATAGCTGGCTCTGTGTGAAGATTTGCTACTCTTGTTAAAAAATTAAAAAAATACCTGACTTCACAACACAGTATTTTCACAGAGAGCTAAGTGTCAAAAGCTCTGGGAGATGACATTTTTTTAAAGTTCTACTTAAAGCTATAAAAATGATTAACTTTATTAAACAAAAACCTGTACACTCAATAACGTTTAAAGAACTACAAGGAAACCTGGACAAAGAGCACATAAAACTCCTGCCACACGCAGAAATCCAGTGGCTTAGCAGATGAAGAGTTCCCGACAGGTGTCAGCTGAAAGGTGGATCGCGGGAGTACTTTCACAAGTAGGTCAGAGGATCAAGAGCGGCTACTGAAGCTAGCCAACTCAGCAAACACTTACCACGTGAAACAACTGGACAACTCTCTGCGAGAACTTAGAGAAAATATTTTTACTTCAAGTGACAAGATTCTTGGCAGGGGGAGATCATGTGACAAAAGGAAACCATAAAACGATTGCTACTTGGGCTTGAGAGTCAAAAAGGATCCCTGGACCTTGAGGAGGAAGAATCTTATGTGCCACTTTCAGACCCTCAAGATGAGATTTACTGATCTGCCCCTTAAAAAGTTCTGGATTTCTATGAAAGAGTAGTGGCCTGCAAATCACAATAAAGAAATGAACATTTTGGCTACAAGTTTTCAACTTTTTATGTAAGACAGTTTTTAGTTGTTTATCGAGATCAAGGAGAAAATCACCTCATGTCAGTTGAAAATGAAATCTGTGAACGGTTATTTCAAGTTTAACAAAAGGAAGCAAACAATTTTCATATGAAAGACATAAACTTCATTATTTAGTTATAGTTTTAAAAAATAATTGCCTTGTATAAAGTCTTTTCATAAAAGGTCAAGTAATAACACACACATACATATATATATGTATATATAATAATTTGAAACTTCTGGAACTATATTTGAGCCTCATCATGTCAATCAGTTAAAAAAAGTGTGGTTTTTTTTCAAATTCTTTTTTTTAAAAATATATATTTTATTGATTTTTTAC